CCCCCAGCTGTTTTACTGTCTGTAATTAAAGATGTTAAAATAAAGTAATTATTATAAGCCGTGCGGGCTGGGCCTGCCCTCCTGCCACAAGCCGGTGGCTTCCCCAGTGCCTCCCCCGCTGGTTTTTCCAGCCTCCATGGCTCATGCAGTCAGTGGTCAGGGCCATCAGCTGGGCTGGGCTTTCCCAGGGGATAGGTGCCAGCTCTGAGGCAGCAGCTCGGCCTTTGACCCATGCTGGCACCGCACCTGTTTCACGTTGGCTGCTTCTGTTTCACGGCACAGGCCAGGAGCGGCAGGGGCCTGTGGTCTCCCCGGCGGGGGCAGGGGCAGGCTGTACACTGGTGTACGCTGCTGCTTCTCTCTGCCCATTGAGCTAACGCCTCCCTCCTCCCCCACGGCCTCCAGCCTGCGGCCCCCAGCCACTCGGCCGCTCGCGCAGTGCGAGACCCGCGGCGTCCTGCTGCCTTTGGAACGCCCGTCCATTTCCCCAGGCCCTTGGACCCAGAGCCTCGGGGTGTGGCCCCCTTCTTGCTGGGGGCTGCTCAGAGCTGGAGCCCAGAGTCGCCGTGGGGCTGAAGCCTGGAGCTCAGTGGCTGAAGCAGGCGTGAGGGGGGCCTGAAACTGACGAGCGCTTTGCCGGGGGATTCCGGCAGCTCTCGGAGGGGTCAACACAGGACGGAGGTAGCGTGGCTCTGGCGTCTCAGCATCTGGGCCATCATACAGCTTAGGAGCCGAGATACCCCTGCAGGGGCCAGAGACCCTCTCCCTCCATGCTGGGTGGCTCACAGGAGCGTTTTGCTTGCTGGGAGCTGAGCTGCCGCCCCATTGCTGCCGCGGTCCAGCCCGCGACGGATGGCCCAGACGCTCCTGGTGTTGGTGAAGGGACTCAGAGACGATAGGGCAAGATGCAAAGGGTCCTCTGACGGGATTAGCAGGTCTCTGCGTAATGGGATTCGGTCAGAGCAGGCAAAAACATTAGTGAATGCTATGTTTTGCTGAATAAATGTAATGTAGCTGCCGCCCCATTGCTGCCGCGGTCCAGCCCGCGACGGATGGCCCAGACGCTCCTGGTGTTGGTGAAGGGACTCAGAGACGATAGGGCAAGATGCAAAGGGTCCTCTGACGGGATTAGCAGGTCTCTGCGTAATGGGATTCGGTCAGAGCAGGCAAAAACATTAGTGAATGCTATGTTTTGCTGAATAAATGTAATGTCTGTGACCCCCCCCCCCCCGCCTTTCCTGCCCTTTGCAAACTTTTCAGTATCAAAAGTTTTCCTTTGGGGTTTGGTACCATGGACATTTCCTGACTTCTTGGAATTGCTTGTGATCTGAAAATCTCGGGTTTTTACTCCGCTCTAGATTGATCTCCCAGACTCGTAGGCCAGTGCTGCCATTTAAAAAAAAAATTAAAATTAATGGAGACTGCCTATCTCCTAGAACTGGAAGGGACCTTGAAGGTCATCAAGTCCAGTCCCCTGCCTTCACAGCAGGACCCAGTACCGTCCCTGACAATTTTTGCCCCAAATCCCTAAATGACCTCCACAAGGATTGAACTCTCAACCCTGGGGTTAGCAGGCCAATGCTCAAACCACTGAGCTATCCACATGCAAAAATGCCTTTGTGTGTAATTCCTCAGTAGATCTGCTTCAGAAAACAATCAGCTCATGGCTTTAGAGCCCCCATGCCCATAACAAACATGGCCATCTTCTGGCTGCAAGATACCATGCCCACAACAAACATGGCGACCTCACCCTCTGACCCTCCTCCACCTAAGCTACTGGCTGCAAGATACCATGCCCATAACAAACATGGCCACCTTACCCTTTAACCTGCCTCTTGGGTCTCTTCCTTTGGTAGATGGGGGAATTTTAGTCCCTGCCCCTCTTCAGTTTTTCCTTTTGTTATGGTTAATTACATCCCCCAAAATGAACCTCACCAAGCCTGCAAAGATAAGCAAGTAGGTGTTACCAAGCTCCAAGTTTAAGGATGGCTCCTTCACCTTAACACTGCCCCTTTTGAAGTCTCTCTCACACAGAGACAGTGTTGCTTACTGGGGTTCTCTGCCTGGTCTGCCATTGGCTAACCTGGGACAAACCACTTTTCCTCAGAGAGTTATTGGCAAAAGGAAGCTATTTCACTGCATTGGAAAGATAGTATGGCAAAAGGCCACCTTGGCTTAACCAGATCTTGCATGATCCAAAAAAAAGAGTCATATAAAAAGTGGAAACTAGGACAAATTACAAAGGATAAATATAAGCGAACATTATAGGTATTCAGGGGCAAGATTAGAAAGGCAAAGGCACAAAATGAGCTCAAAGGAGCTATAGCCATAAAGGGAAGACAGACTTTCTATAAATATATTTGAAGCAAGAGGAAGACCAAGGACAGCGTAGGCCCACTGCTCCGTGAGGAGGGAGAAACAGTAACAGGAAACTTGGAAATGGCAGAGATGCTTAATGACTTCTTTGTTTTGGTCTTCACCGAGAAGTCTGATGTTGGAATGCCAGACATAGTGAATGCTAGTGGGAAGGGGGTAGGTTTAAAAAAAAGAACACGTTAAAAATCATTTAGAAAAGTTAGATGTCTGCAATTCACCAGGGCCTGCTGAAATGCCTCCTAGCCTACACAAGGTGCTGATAGAGGAGGTATCTGAGCCTTTAGCCATCATCTTTGAAAAGTCATGCAAGTCAGGAGAGATTCCAGAAGACTGGAAAACAGCAAATCTAGTGCCCGTCTATAAAAAGGGAAAGAAGAACAACCCAGGAAACTACAGACAAGTCAGTTTAACTTCTGTGCCAGGGAAGATAATGGAGCCAGTATTTAAGGAATTTATCCGCAAACATCTGGAAGAAAATAAGGTGATTGGCAACAGCCAGCATGGATTTGTAAAGAACAGATCATGTCAAACCAATCTGATAGCTTTCTGTGATAGGATAACAAGCCTTGTGAATAAGGGAGAAGCCGTGGACATGGTATACCTTCAGTAAAACAATTCATATTGTCTTGCATGATATTCTTATCAATAAACTAGGGAAATACAACCTAGATGGGGCTACTATAAGGTGGGTGCATAACTGGCTGGATAACCGTTCTCAGAGTGTAGTTATTAATGGTTCACAATCCTGCTGGAAGGGCATAATAAGTGGGGCTCTGCAGGGATCTGTTTTGGGATTGGTTCAGTTCAATATCTTCATTAACAATTTAAATATTGGCATAGAGAGTACGCTTATTAAGTTTGCTGATGATGCCAAGCTGGGAGGGGCTGTAAGTGCCTTGGAGGAGAGGGTCATAATTCAAACTGATCTGGACAAACTGGAGAAATGGTTGGAGGTAAACAGGATGAAGCTTAATAAGGACAAATGCAAAGTGCTCCACTTAAGAAGGAACAATCAATCTCACACCAACAGAATGGGAAGCGACTGTCTAGGAAGGAGCACGGCAGAAAGGGATCTAGGGGTCACCGTGGATCACAAGATAAATATGAGTCAGCAGTGTGATGCTGTTTCAAAACAAGCAAATATGATTCTGGGCTGCATGAACAGGAGTGTTGTGAGCAAGACACGAGAAGTCATTCTGCCGCTCTACTCGTCACTGATTAGGCCTCAGGTGGGCACCACATTGCAAGAAAGATGCAGAGAAATTGAAGGAGATCCAAAGAAGAGCAACAAGAATGATGAAAGGTCTAGAGAACACGACTATGAGGGCAGACTGAAGGAACTGGGCTTGTTTAGTCTGGAAAGCAGAAGATTGAGGGGGGACATGATAGAAGCTTTCAAGTATCTAAAAGGGTGCCACAAGGAAGAGGGAGAAAAATTGTTCTCTTTGGCCTCTGAGGCTAGGACAGGAAGCAATGGGCTTAAACTGCAGCAAGGGAGGTTTAGGTTGGACATTAGGAAAAACTTCCTCCCTGTCAGGGTGGTCGAACACTGGAATAAATTGCCTGGGGGGGGTGGGTTGTGGATTCTCCATCACTGGAGATATTTAAGAGCAGGCTGGACAGACACCTGTCAGGGATAGTCTAGATGTTACTGAGTCCTGCCGTGTGGGGCCGGGGCCTGGACTCGACCTCTTCCAGTTCTAGTGGTCTATGAATCTATTTTTTCCATTGCAAAGAGCTGATTTTTCAGGAGCCTTTCCTAGAAAAGGCCAGCTTTTGGCTGCTGCGGAAGGAACATTTTGGGCAGAGAGGTGTGGACAGAAAATAAATGTTTGTTGAGTCTTCTGGATGGGTGGATTGGGATTTTCAGCTCTGTCTGAATTCTTGGTCCAGCGCTGCTGCCTCTTAACCCCGTCACAACCACGGCCCTGCCGAACAAACGCTTCCGATTGGTTTGCATGGCTTTTAGCCAGGTGTCCGGGCCTCATTTGTGATCTGATTAAGACCGGAAGGGCCCCGTGTGTATCAAACGCCCTGTCTACGGCTGAGGTTAGCTGAGCCTACAGGGGTGACACACACGCATCCTCCGCCATGAGGCTGTCGGCGGGCACCGGGGGTGAAATCGCGAGCAAGCACGGTCTGCTCCCCCCGGGGCGAGCGACGCTGTGTGGAAACCCACTGCAGCCTGGCCGTTTGGCTGGCGGGTCCTTTGAGGCGCCGCATGAAGGGGTGCGACAAAAGAGATTGAGGAGGCGTTTGGCAGGCAGGATGCCGGGGGTCCCAAGGTGGGGCTGGAAGGGAATGGAGACTAGTGGTTAGAGGACTAGTGTTCAGAACATCTGGGATCCA